ACACACACGCACACACACACACACGCACACACACACAGATACATTACTCTACACTGAACGCACAATCGGCAGGACACAAAGGTGCGTGTGCAGAGAGCGGCACGCCCAGCTCCTGCCAGACCTCGTCAAACAAGTTTCTGCAAAGTCCCAGTAGGACTCAGCGAGAGCCCAGCACTGACTCCATACGCAGGGAATGTTTGTTTTTCATTATCAGCGCCGTTTAAAGGAGCAGGAAGCAACTTTTCTGGTCCAGGATTTAAATGCTGTTTTGAATTTCTCGTGGCTATAGGTTGTAAGTCACTTCAGCTACTGTAAGAATTCATGTTTTTGAGCAGACAGTGAGAGTCAATACAAGCACATTTTGTAGTGTTTTGGCTTAACTAAAATGACAAACTTGAAAATCTTTGCTAAAACTTTGTACATACATGACAATACATGATCAAAGTGCTTAGGGCCACACACACATATATCACAAAACATAACATAACAGCTACAAAACAGTCCAGGCCTTTAACCAGGCTTTTGTTAAATTAATCAATCAAATCGCACCATTTAAGTCAAGATTTTCTGCATTTCCACAGAATGAGAGATTCTGGAGCAGCAGCAAAAGCTATAAATATACACAATACATTTATCTTCTGAATGGATGTGTCTCGCTACAGAGTGGTCCCTCGTTTCTTAACAATAAGCCACTATACCCGGAGCAGCTGCATGTTTTAAGGCCCCTCACTGCACACTTCATACACGTTTCTAACCACCTGATCACAGAGCTATATCAGACCTGTTCGTGGTAGGTCTGAGCGCTGCAGCAGCTGTCAAAAGCCGTGCAGACACTGAGAAATACAGCTGCGGAGGAGACGGAGGGGCAGGAGCAGGACTGAGGGCTACGGGAAGACCCCAGCAGTCCTCTGAACCAATCACAGCGGAGCAGACAAGACACACAAGTTTTCTTCAGACTTGAAATAAAGGGAATGTTTTGCTAACGTTGATGTGATGCTGTGTGTGATGTTGTTGGAGAAAACACAAAAAAGCTGTTGATGAAGCAAAATCAAATCTGTGAAGCTGTGCCACTGTATTTCTATAGATCATGGGTGTCAAAGTCGAGGCCCGGACAATTTTTAGTGGGCCCTACAATTATGTTTTATCATTATTGACTTTATTGACTCAAGAAAACAACCAACCTGAATGTATTCTAAAATTTTAACCTAATAAAACATAATTAGAAGTTAAATAATTCAATATAAAATGTGTTTAACTTTATATTTGATCCAGTTTTGGTTCAATCTAAACACATTTTGTTTTCAGAAAAATAAACCACAAAGTACCAGTGAAACTCATGCTACATTAAAGTCATGTTAAAATATCTTCTTAATGTAAAAAATCTCTTCTGTTGTTTCGGCCTCGACCAGTTCATATATTTTTAAATGGTGAGTTTGACACCCCTGCTATAGAAGAAGCTATACCATTTGTTTTCTATCAAACCACTTCAACAATCGACACATGTAGACTTTTGGAAAACCATAACATCAAACACAACGTCACTCTCGATGACCTAGATCCTTGACAATGCAAACAAGTCTCCTTCACATGTAGAAAAAAGTCACTGTAAAGCCACGCTAAGCCCAAAATAACAGAAAACAGTCGTTTCCCGTGTGTGACTTTAAAATTCAATCATGCACTTTGATCAGAGATATGAAATTTACCATCAAAACAACCCTTCACCTGGATCCCCCATTGCAGCGATTTGCATCAGCACAATTTCATTTTGATTTGTGAAATTGTGTAATAATTTGAAAACAGATTTAGAATCAACACAAATATTCAGTTTTTTTTGTTCTTGTTGGAAGAGGTCTCTCACCAAATGAAATTGGTAAAGGCTTGCATCTGTCTGTCCGGGGTATTCCCAGCAGAAGGGGCCCTGAAAGGCAAAGATGGATGGTCCCAGGTCACACAATTATATCAGCGTTATGCATACAGAAGCCTCACATTCACTCACAGGAAGGAGCAGCGTTCTCCTGCGAAATCTCACATTCCGCGGCTTTTTAGTTATTTAAACTTTGAGCGTGTCTGGGCTGCCTGTTCGACCACATTATCGGTGATTTTACACACAGAGAAAAAGGGAGAAATCGGGTATATCGGTGTTTTAGTGGTCTCAGGCTGAACTCTACGACAGGATCTCACTCTAGCTGGACAGGTTTGGGAAAAAATTATCCAAACTAAAGCTGGGGAAGGGGAATTCTAGCGTAAACTTGAAGGCATTTAGACAACATTTGACTATAGAGCTAGAGCAGTACTATACAATCACATGCATAACATTAGTTTTGTGTTAGTTATGAATGTTTATGTTGTGTTAGTCAATGCAAGCTTGAGAGGAAAATATTAGTTTTGGCCTGATTCACAAATACATTTTTACATCTTATACATAGATATTTGTTTTATTTGAATTGTATGGATGTTGTAAGCAGCAGCACAACGCAACACACATTCAGATCATATCGGCCTGGGAGACTTTCAGAGCCCGCCGATACGATACGATACGTGTCTCGATACTGGGGACTTTCAATTCGATACTGTATGATGGCCCCTTAGCTAACACACACAATAACAAACATACAACACTATTAAACTATTAATGCAGCCATTCCCAAACTCAGTAACACCGAGGCCCCCTTAAAAATCTGACGGGTCTGCGTGGCCCCCCAAAATAATAACCAAGAAGACAACATTAAGAATAGGCTCTTCTGGTTATTTTATTTTGGGGAAATAGCCTCTGCTACAAACATTGTAATACAAAAATGATTACAGTGGATTATTCAAGTCAAATAATGAACACAAATATTTTAATATTACAAACAAAACATTATAAATTTAACATTAAATAACTATATTTTATTTTTATTTTTTTTATGACCTCCCGCGGCCCCCCTGCAGTACGGACCCCACTTTGGGAGACACTGTATTAATGTATTCATATGTCAAAATATCAGTATAAAATCTCGATATATTTACACGCTTGTTTTTGTACAGACCGTGGGACAACTTACTAAACAAACCAATCAATACTCAAATACCCAAAACAGCAATATTTAGAAACATATTTTTTATTTGCACACCCCTAGATTGTTCTAACAACTTAGAGAAGTGTTGCCAGGTTGGATATTTTCCCTCCAGAGAGACTCAAATAAGACCTGAAAGCACCAATAGATGTGTGTTTTTTCAAATGGTGACTAGGTTGGTATTGATTTGCAAAAGGCAGACGGGAAAGGCTGCTTTTAGGAGCAGTCAAAAGCTTTTATTTAGGCCTCTCTGCCTGAACCCGAGCGCACTACTCCTTCTGTTTGCGCTGGTACTTGACCCCGCGGTCGGCCTGATAACTTGTGCTTCACACGGTTGTTCTCGTCGGAAACACGCAGACACAAATATGCATTCTGCTTTTAAAAGTCCGCAGTGGAGTGGCAGCTTAAGTTTGTGAGGTTGGACAAGGGTCAAATACCAGTGAAAAGACAATGGCCGCCTTTACACTCAAGAAGCGGCTGTTCACATTGATTACAATCGCTGGACTCATTATCGATCACAATCCAATCAAGTCTTGTTAGGGCTAATATCAGTGATAGCCGTAACCGTGTGACCGCCACATGACTGTTGCACAACCGCTTATTTCTCTATTTTTCTCACTTATTTCGTACATTTGGATTGAAAAACGACCCCGTGCCTTATGACCACAATCTCAACCACTTCATCAAACGACTTGCCAATATCGACACACTTTTTTTTTTCCTTTCCACATCAACTACAGAGGCAAAGATTCGTCAGAAATTGTTTTAAAATCCATTTGTTTATAATGTGAAGGGATGAAAAAATAATACGAATCTTTAGCTTAGAGCTCTAATGTCTAATGTCTAAGTTATTTTAAGACAACAGATACATTTTGTTACAAGGACACAAATGCAAATGTTTAAATACAAGAAATATACTTTGGTTTTAAAAAGAGTCTGATTTAGGGCTTGGTATATACTGTATCTATTTTGTTTAGGGCGACAGTAGCTCAGTTGGTAGAGCATTGGCCTTTGGGCCTGAAGGTCGTGGGTTCGAGCCCACCGTAAGACCTACTTCATGACTCCCACTGATGACTGCTGTCGTTGTGTCCTTGGGCAAGACACTTAACCGTACTTTGCCCAAAGCCCCCACTGAAAGATTTCAGCTCCTGTGGACTCACCACCTGCAGGAGGATCAGTGTGGGGCTGGTGCTCTGTGACTGGGTACAGCTCTGACTGCCACCCCCCGACCCAGAAATGGATTAAGGGGAAGACAATGGATGGATGGATGGATGGATGGATATTTTGTAAAGAAAAAAGTATTTTAAAAATGGTAATCCGAAAGTTAAAAAATCATCCAATCACGTCAAGCATTATATTACATCCCTCCAATCACAGAACACATTTGTTTTTTATCAATACTGAATCAGTCACTTGTAATCATCAATAATATGTTTGTACTGTAGCTGTGAGATCCATTTGGGCGACACGGCGGTGCAGTGGTTAGAGCTAGTGCCTCACAGCAAGAAGGTCCTGGGTTCAATTCCACCTCCAGGTTTCCTCCGGGTGCTCCGCTTTCCCCTACCACTAAATACATGTACAATAGGTCTGTATGTGACTCCTCTCTCATCTCTCAGTGTGGAGAGAGAGACAAAATACCCAAAAAACAAATGACAAATAACTATATAAAAAAAGTTGACTTACTCACTCCCTAAGATCACATTTCTCCGTCACTAAAAAATGTATTTCAGAAAAACCCATTTGCTGTGATTTGTCTTTTAATAATCGATATGGTGAGTCCGCTAACAGGTGCCTTGAGGTCTTGATAATCCTATTGAGCCGAGATGTCTATAGTGGTAACGTTACGGCCGGTGAGTGGTCAGTGGTCAGTCTCTGCTCCCGGGGACAGAGCACACACACACACACACACACACACTTGAGCCATTGTTGTGGTATTGTTGCTGACTAAGCCAACACTGAGGGGATTGTGTGAGAAGAAGCCACCCAGACGCTGCTGGACACAAAGAGCCCGGTGCTCCCATTCTCATTGTCTCCGAGCCGGACTGACGCCACGTCTCGTCCGGCCGAGTTTTGGCGCAAGACCCTGGTGTCACTTTGACCTCTGTCGTCTGGAGGAGACAGAGGGAGCTTCTAATTAGTTAAAGAGTAGACGCAGGGATGTTTTATTTAGCCGCCTGAAATTATTTATTTTTATGTATTCATTCATTGATTTGATAAGCTTGTGACGGATGCGATGCAAAAAGAGTTTATGGCTATTGCTAATTTTCAACTCCAGTCCCTGCTTGGGCCTTTCTACACTACATTAACATTTTAAATATTATCTTAAAAACTATATCCACTGTTTAAATCATTTACACAAACTCAGTGCTATTTACAAATTTACAAATGGGTACAATTCTGTTTCATTTATTTATGGTCATTTATTAGTAGTAGTAGTAATCTTTAGTAATCTTTATTAGTAATCTTTATTTATATACCGCCTTTTCACTGCACATCGGAGTCTCAAAGCGGTTTACAATTGTTATTTTTGGGAGTGGGGCCAGTACAGGAGGCACATGCCAGACCTATTGTACATATTTTTAGTGGTAGGGGAAACCGGAGCACCCGGAGGAAACCTACGCAGACACAGGGAGAACATGCAAACTCCACTCAGAAAGGCCCTAGTCCGACTGGGATTCGAACCCAGGACCTTCTTGCTGAGAGGCGAGAGTGCTATCCACTCAGCCACCGTGCCGCCCATTACGGTTATGAACGTTTACAGCTATTGGTATCAAATTCATGTGTTTTTCATTCCACTGCATTTCCTGCCTTCTAATTGATTGATTTTCTGAAGTGTTGATGGCAAATTGACAACTTTGTAAAGTCCTCTGAGACGACCGCTGTGGTGATTTAGGCACAAGAATAAAGTGAATCGAATTGAAAAGGACAGTCATATATTGTTCTACTTCTGTGTCTTTTTGCTTGTCTGAGTTCATTTTGTTCTGTGTTTACTTTGGTGCGACACTTTGGAAAGCGTCCGAAAATCAAAATAATGTGGATTTGGAATTGGGAAAGATGATAAATTCTTCTGCGGCACTTTCCGAATGAAATCGTAAATCGTGAGATGATTTGTTGTGATAGCAATGACATGTTTTTAGCTTAATAACAGAGACACTGATTCTTCAGGTCAAGCCAGGTTAAATCTTGTTTGCGTAGCGACTTGTGGAATGCCCCATCATTCAACAAGTCATTTCGCAAACACCTTTCAGTCTTAGTCCAGTTATAGCCCAGTCTCAGTCCAGTCTTAGTCCAGTCTTAGTCCAGTCTGCACGGCTTCTCCTTCGTCTATAGGTGAAGTGCATTAAACCGGTGCTGTGTGGCGTCCGTGGGGTGGCTCATTAAGGCGGACAAGGCCGGCCCTCCCAGAGCCTCCTCCATTGTGCGCTAAGTCCAGGTGCAGCGCCCTTTCAGACCACAGGAAGCCCCCTTTATCCACAGGCCTCAGAACGGACAGGGCGCAGTCAAAAGACCTAAACGTGATCCGTCCCCTGCAAAGCCTCCACCATCACATCCGCTCCACATGACCATTTTTGAGCAAGAATTTGGGTATTGTGTCTTTCTTAATACATTCCTTGCCATTTTGAACTCCCCAAACCTGTTTTTTTTTCACTGATTGACATGTCATGAGTGAAACAAGTGCAGCTCAATGCAAGTCAAAAAGCATGCTCATTTCTGACAGGCTCAGGTGGGAGGTCTGTGCTGCCGTAAAAATGGCCAGATTCCATCACTTCCTCCACAGTAATTACCATACACTTTAACGCGAGTGCCCTCCCTCTCCTTAGTGCATGCCTCAGTACCTCTTACACACACACACACACACACACACAATGCGACACAGCCGGGAAATGGTTAACACTCCAACCATCCCCTGCTGCCAGTGAAAGCTCATAAAACAATGGAGACATTGTTGGGCCGGGCCTGGGCTGCAGACCGCGGCTGTGAGTGCATGTGCTGTGTGTGCGCACGTGAGCGTCAGGGAAGCAGTTGGTGCGTGTGCTTTTAACATATGCGAGTTTCTGCCCCAATTCCCCGTCAAATTAAGAAACATGATTCGATCGGAGTGACTTTGATTGCGGTGTTTCTCGGTGGTTAACGTGTGATTCTAGAGGTGCGCGTGGACATGACTCTCTAGTGTTGTGCTGTCGGCTGTGTGCGTCATTTGCAACTGTCACCGCATAAATAAAGGATTATGAAAATGGGCAGCTCTTATATGTTTGTCCACAGAAATAATGTGAAATTAAAACATCTCATTGAAGGAGAGTTGACAAGCAGCGAGTGTCTGTGATCTTTCCCTCTGGAGCTGCGCAAGGCAGAAAAAATGTTTCTTGAAGCCTAGCCCTCAAAAATACACATCAATAGGTGAATAAATATTGAATAACTTTGAGCCAATGGCATAAAAGTTCAGGAGCGGCAGGTTTGGAGGCAGCCTGCGGGGTGGTCAGGCACTTCAAAGGCTGCATCATGGCCCCCTTTGAGGGCATGGTAAACAGGGGCACGAGCCTGCCCTCCCAAAGACCAGCTGCGTGAGGTCACTTCCTCCTGTCTCTCTCCTCCTCCAGCACGACAGAGTGTTTGCATCAACACATCCATCGGCACAACACTACAGCTCTATCACAGCTCCATCTATTACTTTCTATTGTAGTTTCAACTGTATAAGGGTCACTGGCTTCAGATCGGCCTTATCAGACAAAACCATCGACGGAGCCTTATCACCGCCGATGCAGCAGCGAGTGCTGCAGGCGGGAGAGGTCAAGGTGCCTGAGTGTTTCTCTGCATTTGTAAACAAAGAGAAACTACCGTTTACAGCCCAATTTATTGATAAGGAGATCACGTACTGAACATGGAGGCCATCTTTACAGAATAACAGAGAAAGAGCTTGAATGAGTGACACCAGTGGGAGTCCGCGTGGGGTTATCATTGGCATTCACGTAGCTGTCCACACTAATCTGACTTTCTATAAGTACGACAGCCGTATGATGCAAACCAGGGAAACATCCAATCACACTTCCTCCACGGCAAGAGGTGGAAGCCAGAGCAGGGTGCAAGGAGCTCCAACAATACAAGCTGCATTTCATATTCAATTTCATCACTTGTGCTAACAGCAACTTGTGTGCGTCTCTGCAGCAACACGGCGAAGCCTCTGATCTTAGCAGCCTGTGTACTCTCTATCAAACACAACACAGTGGGGCTGGGCAATACGACCACAAATATTACAATACATTCCTTTATATTGATTACTGTCAGCACTTGTAACAATATTCATTTAACTGCCTCCCTCTGTTCTGCTCTGGCTTTGGTCTGCGCTGCACGTTTCTCCTAATGGACCAATCAAAGGACCAGGCATTTGATAACTTTCCAACACAACTTTGTGCTTTTGGCTCTCCAAAATTGATTCTCATTTTTCCCATTACGAAATATTGTAACAATCTAAAGCTATTACTCGTCTTATTATCAGGGAATAAAGTCAAACAAAAGAAACGTCAGGCTCAACAAAAATGCCCTACATTGTAAACTCGGTTAGCAAAGAATGTAGTGTTATTATAAATGTGATCCATGTTATTAAAGGGAACTCTTTGGTATGGAGCACATCCGTAGACTGGGAGGCTTGACAATATGGCAGTAATACTTATTTAACATCAGATTTTTATTTTCAGATATTTTTAGCTTAGGACACAATGCAAAAAGTGATGAAAAATAAGTAAAACATGGCTTAAATTTGGCAAAATTCATCTTAAGATTTGCCAATGGGACAATCAAAATCATCTTAAATGATACAAGAAATGTCTCCTTTGGAATGAGAAAACACAAGAATATATGAATAAGACTAAGTGACTTGTCCCATTGGCAAATCTTGTTTTCCCGACAGTCAAAGTGTGTCAAATTAAGATAAAAACAACTCGATTCAAGCAATTATTACCTCATGTTTTATCAATTTTTTGCAGTGTAGAATCTTTGAGGAGCTGTGCGTGTCAATGTTAAGTGAAATACCATAAATGTGAAGACAAAGCCATATTATTGCCATATAGTGACAAAGCAGGCGTCTAACCCGGAGCCAGAGAAGTCCAACAGCGTCTCTTTAACGGCAACATGGGTAAATCCAAAAGTATATCGTCCTTTGTGCTGTTTCGAAGCACGTAAGGTGGGGAGTATTTACAGCAGCATGACTCAGTGCAACCGCAAGCCTCAACTATTTACCTGCAGCTCTTGCAACCCACGACCAGTTTAATGACTTCATAAGAGCCGAGACGCTGCTGCCTTCTCCAAAACACCAGAGTAAAAAAGACCCCTTGAACTGCTCTGGTTTAAAAATAACATTAGCATCAGAAGGAGAAGAAAGACGGCTGCTTTTCTTAGTAGTAGTGTCACGGCTTGTTTTGTCTTTTTTTGCCAATCCTTTTCAGTTCTATGGCGTTGCTCATAAGTGAAAGGAAATTTGAGAAAAATGAATAAATAACATGGCAGTTTCATTTGCAAAAACAGATATTTCAGTTTTGAGTTGGATTCTACAATCTTCAGCATGTTTTGTCATCACCAGGCCATGTGAAAGGATTTGCCCTAGAAACTTTCTGTATATGGCACTGAAATAGATCTAGCTTTTCCAAAAAACGACAATTTGTACGTTTTGCACGAATGGCACTTATCTGTTTTTGCACATGAACCAGTCAATAACAGATAACATTTGTCTTTGTCTTTCTCCTCTTGGACCTATTACGATCATCTGCATTCAGAAGTTTTCAGCTCGCATTGATTCTTTCTTCTTGGTTTTGTTCATAAGAAGACTGGAACAAAAGTAACTGTGCCAATATGGGCTCAGGGCATTCTCAGTCACATCACTAATTCTCCTCAATCCCCAACTCTCATTGATTTTCCCTGCTAACCTTGTGACCACACGCAACACAGCACCTCCCAAAGTTCAACCTTTTTGCTGACCTCTTCAAAACTTCCCGCCTGTGGCTAGCTGCTAAGTTCGTGGCTCGCTCTGGTGCTCGCTGGCCTCTTCAGATATTGACATGCCTGAGGTGGGTGCTGTGTGATTCTTATGTGCAGCGTATGCCCCCTATGGCTGTCCAGGCAAACTCCAGTGCCAAAGTGCTCCTTCTACTCCACACATAGGCTAATCAATGTGCAAGGAACGCCCACACGTTTCTTCCAAAAAAAAAAACACTCTCACACCTCTCTCTCTCTTTCCCAGACTGGTCCGGATTTTGCGCGCTGTGGTCAACTCTCGTTCACATCTTTGAAAAAACGTGTGTTAGTAGCGTTGGGGGTTTGCATCGGTCACATTCATGATATCAAAAAACATAGAATCAAAAGCCAAGAAGCAGAGCAGTGTAGAGCGAAAGGTGCGGAGTTGTGGATTTACTTACAACGATGTGTGCCGGTGACGGTGACCTGGCATCTTTAAGTGCTTGTCTACTTTGAAGACCTGGTTGAACATCTAGCAGGGGCCATTTCATCTGTAGGTACTGAATGGCAGAGAGGGGACACAATGGAAAGAAAGAAAAGAAAACATGTTAACAATGCAAAAGAATCCAAAACAATAAAAAAAAAAGACAATAGACACGCACAGGGGAATCACGACATTTGCTGAGGAGATGGCGTTTGAAAGCGACAACTTAAAATACATGAGCTGGAAATGTGAAGGCAGATGGAGTGGATGGAGTGGGCCTCGAGCGTGCAAGGCTAACAAACAGTTGTGTGTGCTGTAATTACACAAGAGACTCAAAAACACAACAGGGAACAACAAGATGCACTTTGAAAGATATAACAAAAGAGTCATCAAGAGTCCTATCAACTGCTTTTCAACGGCCTTTTTTAGCTCCTGAATACGTCCAATGTCTTGTCTCTTCTCTTCATACAGACAAATGGTCAAAAAAGATGAATTTAAGACATTACGGGAAACAGATTTTTAACGGTCTCAAAAATATACTGGCAAACTTCACAATCCAGAGACAATATTCTCTTTTAATATAGGTGCTTAAAACAGGGGTGTCGAAACCAGTCCAGAAAGGGCCGCTGTGGTTGGAGGTTTTCTATCAGACCCAGCAGGAGCAGAGCAGACTCCTCCCATTTCCTCAAGAGAGTTCAGTCTTAACCTGGAGATTTGAGGAAATGGGTGGAGTCAGCTTTGCTCCTGTTGGGTCTGATAGAAAACCTGCAGCCACAGCGGGCCTTTCTGAACCGGTTTGGACACCTCTGAACTACACTGATCCGTTACTACAGTCCAAGGCCATATGTTTTGGAAAGGAGTTGAGTCCAAATTGTGGAATGAGCAAATTATTATTGACAAAAATATATATTGACGTATTAAGACATTGGTTAATCTGAAATGTTTTATTTGATGTCTGTGTCTGTGTCTATGCCCATATCCCGATACAAAAACAACTTCTTGGCTCCTATGTGACCATTGGCTCCTATGTATTTGTTATTAATGCATTTCCTGTGTTTGTTTCTCTGATAAACAACTTAAAGTAAAGTCCTTCGAGGCGACTTTTTGACTAAGGGTTGTACACAAAATACATGGAATAGAATTGAATCCTTACACATGTCTAAACCTTTCTTGGGCAATCTGTTTTGATTCATGTTCAGTGCATTATGTTCAAAACAACACATATCACAGGATTATCATTCTTTCTACATCTGCTCAAACGTATAATTTCAATATTCTGAAGTCTCCTCTGGCGGTATGGTATGCAGTATGCAGGGGCTGGCTCTGTGATGACCTAATCTAATAAAGGTGTCTCGTTGGCCTTTTTATTGTGGACCATAAAGAGGTTGGAGCATGGTGCCCGAACACGCTCCTCTCCTCATCAATGATTGACCTGAGCCTATCAGAGAGTCTCCATGGCGTCTCGCTCACAGCCCACAGCAGCAGATAAGCTCACGCTGGGGTCACGAGAAACATCTGTGTCTTATGAAATGAAATAAAAAAAGGGTGGAGGCCTGTCAATCTGATGACACCAGCAACTCTGAAAATTCTACTTTGGTATGAAGTGTCAACGACGAGCGCGAACTGGAAGGAGTTACAGTACAGTCACTTTGTTGACAGACTTTAGAGCTGACCGAATACACTGTTGATGGTTGACATGGCTTATCAATGTCACAGCCACCTAGTCTGAGGGGAAAAGGGTCATTGCTCCTGTGTGTGTAAACGAAACAAATCTAATTCCGCATTGAAAATAGTTGAAACAGTGAGAGAGGTCCCAGAATTCCATATCTTTTTAGATTATACAGAGATATGTGAGAGTCAAGCATTGTATTTACTGTACATGTCCACGTTCGATTGGTTTCGGTGAACATTTTACAGAACCTAAACATGCAAACAACCTCAGCAAAAACAAGTAGAGAATCTTGACTGATCAATACAAAGTAAAGCCCTGAGGGAAAAGGTACAGGATGCCCCCGATCGAAATGAATCAGATACAAATTCTCATGTTTTCCTTCAGCCCATTTCAATTATGAACACAAAAGAAGTCATAAAAAGGGCATTAAAATCATATTACAGTGCAATACTAACTGCACTTTAGGCCAGTTTGGGCAAACACATATGGACCATGTAAGGAATGTGCAATTGTTTTGACGTGCGGATGTGCAATACCCCTTGGTCCTATGCATGTGTCTGTACTTGTGACAGTGCTGTATTTGTAAATGTATCTTCATGTTTTTTATCGTACCTCCGATGACCAAGACACATGTTTCCATCTGGAGACAATAAAAGGCTAATCTCATTTTATCTTATCTTGGATTTTTATTATAATACTTCTTTCCAAATGTAACACAGACCTCACGACGACATGTTGACTGTGCATACTCGCAAAATCGGTTTCATTCTGTGTCATTTTATATCATTATAAAGTAAGCAGTAAAGCCTCTTTCCATTGCACATGACATATTGTTGCGGCCTGTGCGTAATCCAGAAGGAGAGTTTGGGCGCCGGGCCTTGCTGGGGAACAGTGATCATTGTTGCAGACTTAGCTTCAGCGACAAGTTTCAACCAAGCTGTGTATGACTGAAACTACCAAGAAGTGTACTGTACGTTGGGAGTCTAAGCTGAACTTCTTCTGACTGCATTTTGAGCGAATACATTGTAAATAAAGCTGTAAACATGTATGAATGTGACTATTTACATTAACAGGGTCTTTAAGAAAGCTCGTCACCGTCTCTACTTTCTGTGTAAACTTAGAGAATTTACCACTAACTCTAAGATTCTGCTTAACTTTTACCGCTGCACCATTGAGAGTTTACTTGTTGGTTCTGTGTCTGTGTGGTTTGGAAACATCACAGATAAAGAAAAGAGAGCTTTAAACAAGGTGCTCCGCTCTGCAAAGAGGACTGTGGGCTGTGAGACCAGAGAGAGACCAGAGAGAGACCAGAGAGAGACCAGAGAGAGACCAGAGAGAGAGAGAGACCAGAGAGAGACCAGAGAGAGGACTGTGGGCTGTGAGACCAGAGAGAGACCAGAGAGAGGACTGTGGGCTGTGAGACCAGAGAGAGACCAGAGAGAGACCAGAGAGAGGACTGTGGGCTGTGAGCTTCCTGTTCTGGAGGTTCTTTATAAATCCAGACTTTTAAACCAAGCTCTTAAAATCATCAATGACTCTTGATCTGGCCACCCTGGAAAAGCCATGTTCCAGCTTCTTCCCTCTGGCAGAAGACATCGTTCTCTGAGATGCAGGACATCTCGACATGCTAACAGCTTCTTCCCACAAGCTGTTATCAGTCTGAACAGAGCACTTTAATGATCTTGCTCTTGTTTTGAAACTGTTTAGCCGATTTTACTGCAAATGGCAATAAAAATGAATCTGAATCTGAATCTGTAATTTACTTTTGAATGAATGAATAAATGATAAAAAAAACTATGATTATTTGAGGAAATCTACTTTTGCTTCAGCCCTATATCGACAACTTCCTGTAAAGTCAAACATGGACGCCTGTTACGTCAGTGTAGAATCCCAGAGATGACTTCACCTGTTTTATAACTGTGGGGTTGTCACGTTATTAAATGCAAGAGTAAAGATAGCACCTTGGCCCAGGACAGTGTGGTTACGTGGGCACATTCGGTTCTACGTCTGGGTGGGCAGCGAGGGTGACCGCTGGTTTGTATGCATGTCTTCAGAGTGTGTGTGTGTGTGTGTGTGTGTGTGTGTGAGAACTTAAGTGTGTGTGTTTGTGCGCTGGTCAGGGAAGGAGCGTGTCGCGACCCTTCCTGAGTCTCTGTCTAAATCAGTGGTAATTAGCAGAGAGTTCACTGTGGGGTGCCTGCCAGTGCGAGACGCTGGAGGGAGTTATTGACTCCATGTCCTCGGTTACAGCCCCTGCCGAGGGAAAAAAAAAAATCTGTGGTCTGCCTGCTCCATCTCCACCGCTACCACTCATTTATGACCCCTACTCGGCTTTTACGGCTCAGAACCCGGTTTGTTTACGCTTGTTTGTATGTCCTGAGAGTCAAAAATGAAGAGGTTGTAAAGAAAAAAATAGTCACGACTTGAGTTCATGTTGGTTTTTTTCACGGACCCCCCACACTGGATATTAATTGCCAAGAGAGGCGTGGTCAAAGAGGGAGAAAAGATCGCAAGGGTCCCAGGGCTGTCATCTGCGAGTTCCCTCTAATAAAAGCGGCAGTAATATCAAGTAATATCAAGTGTGCAAATTTAGTGAGCGCTAAAAAAAGAACTTAGTCGTTCGCTTTTAGCTTCCAGACTTGACTTTATGGTTGACAAATAATCACAGAAATGCTAAATCAGAACCTTATTTATGGCAATGTTGGGAGATATGTGAACGCAGCTGCCGTGGGGTCCAGAGAGGTCGCGGAGGAGCACGGTGCGAGTAGGCGGTTTAAGAAGCGTGAAGGTGACACCCACGATCGCGCATGGGCCAGCGTGGGACACTAAAAGGGGGACACTATAGGGGGGGGGGGCGATGACGGAACGCATGTCCTGACAAGAAGAGGCACCACTTCAGCTCTGCTATTCTCACACTCTAATCTCCAACGCCGAGTTTTTACAAGCATGCCAAGGAAAACGGCGCCCTGGCCAGCACCCCTGCACCCTTCCTTGGCCTCTTTCCTTTCCCACTCAACAACCCTGCCCCCCCCCCTTTGCCTGCTGCCCACCCTGCTAACGGACACACCGCTTGGGCTTGAGTATAGGCCAGGACCCCTTGACCTCTCCGTGGAGCTCTCTCCGGCCCCTCCCTCTTTTTTCCCCTATTCCGCGCAGTCTGAAAACTCTGGGGCTATCTGGGGGCCCAGTGGGAAACTCAAGTACCCATTCCAATGTGACAAATTGCTGCAGAGTTCAGGGATAACTCTCTCTCCTCCATCGACCCCCACGTCCCCCCCCCACCCCCTCTCATACACACACAAACACTAAACATGTCCCTTTGACAGAGCCTAACCCCGGACGAGCCACCCGGAGGTATGTGCGCTGTTGCAGGCTGTGCGGCAGACGGCTTCCTGCTCCCCTTTCTCCTCTTTCAGCGTCGGACCCCCGCCCTCTCCCCTTTCCTCTCCCCCCCACACCCCCTACCACCCAACTCTCGGCGGGCCAGTCCTACAATAGGCGCTGAATGACTCAATTGTCTCTGATGAAGTGAAAGACAAGGCGGGATGAACTTACTCTAGCTGTCCTGATTCTATTAGAGGGCAGCTCTTTATGACGTAAGTGGTGATTACTTACATGAGTCCTTTATTAGGGGGTAAAGGATGTCGAGCTTAAAACGATGTTGGGCTCGAATGCTTTTGGTAAATCTAGCCGCCATTTTCAAGTATATGCTTAAAAAATATAATGCATCTACAACTGAAAAAGACCTAATAGTTTGCAAACATACAAGGTTTTTGATATATGTGTTGATATATGCTAGTAGTCTACAGCTAATGTCCCTCTCTGTTATTACATGTATTTAAAAAAAATTACGAATGGGGGTATAATTTTAACCAAAGGATTTGTTTCACTTAACATGAGTTTGGATATTTTTGTCAGAGTGATATTTGTTATTATTATTATTGTTATTTTTATTGAATCATTACTGGAGGGGCTGCTGCTGTGTGTACTGGGTGGCATCTCTGGCCACCCCCCCCCCCCACCCCCCGACCCAGAAATGGATTAAGGGGTAGAAAATGGTTGGATGAATCATTACTAATGGGTTCAATATTTAGAATGCATTAAATGATGTAGTATTTTGGGTAAAATGTGATTTAAACTGCTGTATAATATGCCACAGTAGCCCACAGTATCCTTCTACCATGACTGTGCTTTGTAATTACTAATATTTGAAAATAATATCCGGGGCCACAAACATTGTCTATTATATTTGAGACCTTTGAACTACAGGATGAGATTTCATTAACATTTCCATATTGTAATTATGATTCAATTTCACATAAAGGTGCCAGAATAACCAGGATTAAAAACAAACAAAAGAAAAAAGTCTAGGTAGATTGTTTTGAGTTATTTTTCGGTTTCCCCCAGACCTCGGCGCTGCCATGCAGGGGCAGTGAGGCGCGTGTGACTGACTGCTGCGGCTCTCAGGTTTGGCATGTTATGAGCTGGAGTGTGTTAACCCAGATCCGCACTGACTGTCATCACAATGACAACAAGCCGGGGCCCTGCTCCCTGTGTCACCACCAGGCAGAGAGAAAGAGGCCCCTGACAAAAGCAGAGGGCCCACACATCGTCCTCACATCAATACGTTGTTACTAATTTAATATTTGAGGTTCAAAGCAATTTAACAGCAAGTAGTCCTTTTAGGTTGTGTTGCTAGCTTCTTGGTTCTCCAGAAATAATCCATTTTTACCCATCAAACATTAAACAAAAGTCAATACAGGCCATAGACGGGAGGAGGTAACGTTGCCCTCATCTATTTTTAGTGTGAATGACAGGAGAGGAAAATTGCTGGACTGTTTGGCTTGTTTCTGGTTGGCTACCAAGTCTTGCCTCTGGATCGAGCTCCGTCTGATGTGTTCATCGCATGAGGCCTGGCGGCTGGAACAGTGACCAGTGCAAGCCTTGTCCATTTTGTTTTGGATTTAGAGCAGAGGGCTTTGAAGCAATCGAACAAGCAAGCGAGGGCTGCTGCGTGCCAACGTGGCTCCCATGCTCTGGTCCACTTTCCAACAGAGGACAGATGATGATGGGACTACAGCGACGACACTGCAGACATCAGCTATGCAACAAACAGCTTGGCTTTAGAGTCAGCATATGGAGGCGGGGGACAGCTCCAGAGAATCCAGCCCATCTTTGGCCCATCTGTGGCTCACTATCACACAAACGGTGTAGTTGTATGAGCGCCAATCCTACCTTTGACACACTTTCAGACATGCCTACCGCCGCACCTGAACAACTCACCCACTTTTGAAGGGCTCTTTGGCGGACAGGCCCGGCATCTCCACCGGGACCTGGAGCAGGGATGGGATTGACAGCTTGCAGATTACACCAATCAGACTGTTACCATAAAGAGCTTTATTTAAGGCTCAAATGATCAAGGCTAGTAAGAGGAACTGGCTCAAAGCTCCGCAAGTAAACTGCACCAAGCTTAAAAGATTAGTCTATCTACTGTGACGACAAGTTTATCCCTTTAAAAACAAAAGCTAAACATATTGCCCTGATCTGTTTTCTCATGTTTAAGTTCAGGGGCAAAAGCCAGATCACCAGCCAATGAATACATTATTTTAACTACTATTTTGGAGCTTGCATTGCCGTATTATCAATAGGGCAATCCAGCTATCGCATGTGAAGCCGTCACAACTGCTTTGGTTCTCCTTTTTCACATTTTATGAGTAAATATTAAAGAAAAAACCCACCTGCTCAGATAGCCGGAGGCATTTTGCAACCAGGAAAATAAAAGTGGGATATGGAAAGGCCTGAGGTTTTTGTGCCCTGGGGCAGGAGGGTCCACTGGGTCCACATCTCCTCCTAAGCCAGGACCGCTGGGGGGTTCCACTGGCCCCCACAGCAGTAGGCCGTGTACCTGCTCCAAAAGCTTGCCTCTTCACCTGCTACTGCCGTTACCAAGTGCTTTTTGTACAGGAATGATACTGATCCTAGATGCAGGATGTTCAGCCACGACTCAAGGGAAAGTCTCAAAGGTCTTGTTTATGATGCTGATCATGGAGCTGATCCGTTGTTTAAAATTGGGATTTTTTAAAGCATTTTTTCAGGTGTGTCCTGGAAGTGAGCTTGGCTGCTTTAAACACAGGTTCAAGTGATAAGTATAGCCTCACTCTGGCAATGTTTACTTTGCAGGTGTGGACAAAGTGCTGTTCAAACACCAGCTGACTGACCAGAACATTTTAGGGATTGCACAACAGAAAGCAGCATAGGAAACATATCCAGAAGTTTCTTCACCATTACAAAACTATAGAGAAGACACTAAAGGTGGACTTATACACATTGTTCTCCAAAGCAATAAGGAAGAGACCAGAAACTTCTCTAGGAGCCTGCAGTGAGTGACTCGCCCTCCCCCCACACTGTCCCTTTCCCAGTGTCATTAGAAGTGTATCTTGGCTGCTCTATAAATAGTGTTGTAGGGTGAAGGCCAGCAGGAGCTGGCTAGTCTTCCATCAGAGCGCTAATGAACAGGCGCTCTGGCACCTTTAGCATCCGCCTTGGAGGCAGAATGCCTCTACTTTCAGGTCCCTGCCACTTCACACATGTGTGTTTGTGGCTCTTCCATCTCGCTGACACCTCCTTTTGCTGGCTTTTCTTTGACTCGGACACAAATATAACTTGGTCTGTGATGAGCCATCATAAGCCTCCACATTCAGAGGCTAGAGGGGCATAAAGGAAGCCATGGCACTCCGAGGATTCTGGGAAATATAATGTGCATCATAAACACTTTCCAAAGTTGTTATGGAAAAGTACAGATAACTGAAAGCGGAACAATGTTCACGGTAAAGAATCCCATAGTACTGGAGGAGAGTGGAAGTATCCGAGCCCAGCAGAAGTAAAGCAGAGCACTTCCCGGGTAAAGATCAGGTTGGACCACAATGACCCAGTGCAGGTGAAGATGCCGAGGCCCTTACATAGAGCCAGGGCCGAGGGCTGAGGGATGCTCCTGCTTCGCACGCTGATCTTCACGAGTAGGAAACAGGGCGAGGAGTGAGGGGTGAGGGGCATAGAGAGAGGAGTTAAAAAGGTGAATGCAGCTGCTGAGCTCTGCAGAGGAGAGAGAGAGCGCCCACGTTTTTGCTCCATGCTGTATCTGGCATTGTGCTGGAGGAGAGCTGATTGCTGCCCTTGATGTTGGGTGTCTGGTTTTGTTTTTAGAGTTCACTATGAATTAGTTAAATGCTAGGAGAGATATAAGAAAACTCTGAAACATGCCTCAGAGGGAGAGAACGTGTACTCTTTGGCTTCACAAAGACTTCCGATATTTTGGCGCCAACACTACAAACTATCACACAGTTCCACCTACACATCGTCATCAATCAGAGAGCATTATGTCGAAGCATCACAAACACACCAAGAGGCAATTAATCTGCACAAAAGCTTCATAGGAACCAACAAACATTGAGCTTGCTCTGCTTCTCTTTCTGACTTCCACACAGCACCTTGAAGCAGTGCAGCCTCCATATTCATGAGACCAACTCCCTGAGCAGCTCTAAAGCCATGAATTTAAGGCTTTCACTCCCAATCCCAAATATCATTTCAGATTATGGATTTAGCTCCCAATCAATGAGGCCAATTTACCTGCTTTTAGCTCTATTTTGGCGATAATTAACATTAACCTGAATGATTATGCTTGTTACAAAACATGTTATTTGCTAAGATAATGTGAGTAAAGGGGGGGTAAAAAAAATTCCCACACAAGCAATTACATGCACACTCACTCAGTGGGGTACTGCCGCTTTGCCACGATGGCTTAATGGATAAATAAGTAATAAGGGCTTGGTTACAGGAGCTCATTAAAATGTGGAGATGCTTCCGTGACAATAAGCAGAGGGTCAGGGGTGGCCCGGGACAGAGTGGGTGGCTAATGTGCCCCCCCCCCTCAATCTCCTACATGCCTCACCCCAGACCTCACCTCCAGAGCACCCCAGAGCACCCTGAACCCTGTCTCCCCTTATCGGCCTCCACCCGAGCACAGGCAAACGCTCACACGCACGAGCTCGAAGCGCGCACACCTCTCTCACGGTTAATTACCACTTAGCTCAATCACGTGCTGATCCGTCCATAAGAGAGCCCCCTCCCTTCTGCTCGCAACACAAACAGCCGCACACATGCCAATTATTGATGAATCTTTAATATGCCGTTTTACAAAGTCTCCATCTCATTTCCGACAACTGAGCGGGTGATTATCCACATGTGTGCTATAGAAACCAAGATTGAGAGGAGACAAGAAGACTGAGACAAATATGCTAAGTGTAATGGTATTGTAGCATTTTGGAAAAGTGTCCAGAGCCAATTGAAAAAGCCCTCTTCTTTTTTCTTTCCCTCAACCTACCTCATATCTTTGCTAGTCTTTGCCAGTGTGCATAAAACCCCCGGACAAAAATCCCACGCCGTGATAACATGTCAATAATGAGCTGAGGCCATCTATTGATCAGCTTAATTTTGCATCTATTAGCTGGGGAACGGCTTGCTCCGGGGGCGAGGGGAGCCAGGCGCTAACACGCACCGACAGGCTGGATGGAGATCATTACAACTGATGTTCACACACACGCTGTGATTGACATGGAGATAAGGCAGGAAAGAGAGCGCCTCGTACGCCTCCCTGCGCACTAAGCTAATGATACACCAAACGTGTGCAGCAGTGTCTATGGCTGTGCGGGCAACAGCGCGCCGGAGACAGCGTATATCTAGAAAAAGAGCTGGAGCGGGGTAAAAGGAGAAAAAAGAGGAGAAGAAAAGCAGGCCGTACGCCTTTGCTAATTGGCTCAGTCAGACAGGGAAGCTCATAACAGGCAAGAAAGTATTTAGTGAAGCACCTCAGCTTTCTGGATGGCCCTATCAAGCTTGTGTCATTTAAATGCAGGTGACGACAACACAGAGGTGCCCTGAATGGACCCGCCATGCATAGTTTCATCTCATAATTCCTTCCATTTATGAACCGCATTTGCATACAAAACTTGGTGTGGGCGTTCATTATAAGATGCCTCCATGATTGTAAGCTTGGTTCGCCCTGTGCCAACAACACACGAGCGAAAACAACAGAAAACAGAGAAAAAAGCAGCAAGTCTAACTCCAGCTTTGATCGACTGCTTTTTTGTGCTATTTTGAAAAAGAAACTAAAAATGGATCCATGCAAAGAGGGCAAGCAGGAAGCTACATGGTGCGCTTGCCCTTTGCTCCTCCTCGCTCACCTAGCCGCCATCACCGCAGGTCGGCCCGGCATTGATGCAATCTCCTGCAATACAAGCTGCTGTGGGAGAGTAAGAAGAACGCTGCTGCTATTACGGAATAAAAGTATACAGGTGTTGCACAATCTCTATGTTGAGATCTTTAAAGGAGGGGGCTGTTGTGAGCTTACTGTAAAGTTCAGGTCAGAGACACTCAAATGTGAGTGTCTCACACCAAATGTGTGTTTTTGTCAACTAAGGGAACTGCGAGGAGGAAGGGAGGGAGGGGAGAGGTGAGTGAGTGAGGGGAGGGGGGGCATGGGGAGGAGGAAAAAAAGCCCTCAGCCAAGCCATCAAGTTGAACATTGAACTTCACAGTAGTAGCTGCCTTTCTATGCCTCTCCTTTTGATGTTACCTCCAAAGCAAAGGATCAAAGGCTTGGAGTGTGGCGTGGGGAAGTCCCAAGCTCTTAGCCTGCCAGCCTGTGATATATGCAAAAGTCTACGCCAAAAGAGAGAGAGGGTGCGGGAGTGGGTCAAAAACCAGGAAAGAGAGAGGGAGAGATGGTAAGCTCGAATGGAATGTGGCTAAATAGCTCTGTGTGTAATGAACGACAAGGAGATGATGCAATGCGTCAGTGAGGCTCAATCGTTTGCATAGGGTATGTTGCCCGCTTGTTAGAAACTACAAAAATGGCCGACCAATGTCAAACAAAAGTGAAAGTTAAAACACATTTGTGAAATGTCCTAGAGACACTGGCACAGAACAGTGTAGCCAGTTTTAAAATCAATGTCCTATTACCAGAATGCAAATATAATTATAAGATTTGGTTTTACATATTAGGTCATGTTTGACAGTAAAGATGGATGTTCCTTTTCATAATTTTTTTTTTTAATCCATCGCACCGCTTGTCCTTACACCCTCTGTCTTCAGTTATCCAAAAAATCTATAAATATTCGTGCCAAGAAATAATGATTTTTGGTTCTATTCCCAAATGTTCCTGAATACAGCACATACAGTACGACTTTGGAAGCTTTAACCTGAAGTTAACAGCATGGCACTTTTTGTTGTCATCACACGTTTCTCCTCTGTCCCCACCTCCATCCCCCTCCCTCTCCACTTCACACCAAACCAGTGCCTCCACAACATCAAGGGCTTTGGAGTCTGTGTCGTCTATACACACAGTGCCCCGTTAAACTGAGTGCAACGATAAACACGCAACGCAACACATGAAAATCCTGTCCCTCCCTGTGCCCGGCGCCAAAAACAAACATTGGACATTCAGACAAGCTGTGGGCTCAGCTGGACCAAAGTGTGGAGCAGAGGTGTGCTAAAATTGACGAATATCTATGAGACAAACACACACACACACGCACACACACGCACACACTCACACACACCCTTTCCCCAAGGCTGTAGGATTAAGAGGTCCAGCTGGCTGACAGCAAGCTCTTCCTTCCCACGTATCCCGTCGATCTGCACCCCTCAGCCCCATACACTCCGGCGCTTCCAGAGCCCCTCCCACTCCGCACTCTGAGCCCGGCGCTGCCAGCCTGCCCAGTGGAGTCGGCAGAGAGGATGCCAAGAGGACACACCTGCATTTGACATCCATCGGCCCCCGAGCGACTTTCTCTTCCTCGAGCGGCAGAAAGTTGTCAAAAGTGGTGCCGAAATGAGGATTGATGCTTGTTTCGCGGTGACAACAGGATGTAGAGAAAGATATGGTCACATGTCACATCAATTTTATGGATAGAATTGTAACTTTAAGACCCAAACTTTGAATGATCCAACTAATCAAACAGTTTAGTTTAGTTTTGTTTAGTTTCCATCAGCCAGGCCACAGCATCATGGGCCTTTCTTGTTCCAGAGACCCATAAGAATAACTGCTGTGACAAGCACTAAGCTTCTATACAGGTATATTTCTGACTTTTCACATCTCTAAGACGCACAATATCTGCTCCTGAGAACAACTATATTTGAACATTTGCTTTCTGAGTACTACCATATGTAAAACCAGTTCCAAAACAAGACTTTTCTGGGTCTCAATCTGCAAGAACACCACCCATGATACACCCATGATACATGTACCACACAGTCTGAGAAGGACCCAAGACCCCCCCCCCCCGAATCCTCATCCCTCACTCCTGAGCAGCTGCCAGGTCACTTTACCAACGTCTGCAAGAAAGTATGCGCCTGGGTGTTGTTGAGGCGTTATATCATATTGTCGACAGAGAAGTATGTGCAGGAATAGAAGTGTGGCGTTGCGACATGCGCGTTTGCTAAAAGTATAGATTATATCGGTATAGGCTGAGCACATACCAGAATGTGTCACCATCGAGAGCTTGGACATGGACAATGGGGAGGTTGTAATGATAACCTTCTCCATCTCTATAACGGCCACATACAATGAGTGTTTGGGTTCGCATTTGTACATTGAACTTGAACAATTTTAGTTTGGAAGTTGGAAAAAAACGAGCCTTGAGTTAACTGTGATGTATTTACTGTCATAGCATTCAAGGGAACGATTGAATGAATGAACATAGGTCAAATAACTATGTATATCTTTAAATTAAAACAGTAAAACGTCAAAATTGCCCATTCCCCTTTCTACACAATGACCAACCCTATTGATTTTCAGTCCGCATCATGGTTTACCCCAAACATTCGCAAGAAGGGCCTGGGCAAGACAAGAAGCCAAAAACTCTGACTTGTTACCGGGAGCCAGGAGTGAGTGACAAGCCTAATATTGAGGGGAAAATGGAAGGAGTATGATTCATAGGTGAAGTTTGGGTAAAAACAAGGGCAGAAGACACTATCTGATTTGGGCTGTGATCACA